CACATATTAAACAAATATGTAAGACAGCTTCTTCCATTTGCGCAACATCTCTAAAGTTAGAAATATCCTGTCTCAGAGTGACGCTGAAAAACTAGTTCATGCATTTATTACTTCCAGGCTGGACTACTGCAATTCGTTATTATCAGGATGTCCAAAAACACTCCCTGAAAAGCCTTCAGTTAATCCAAAATGCTGCAGCAAGAGTACTGACAGGGACTAGAAAAAGAGAGCATATTTATCTTAATGACCTTGTAGTACCATATCACCCTATTAGAGCACTTCACTCTCGCACTGCAGGCCTACTTGTTGTTCCTAGGGTATTTAAAAGTAGAATGGGAGGGAAAGCCTTCAGTTTTCTGGCCCCTCTTCTGTGGAACCAGCTTCCAGTTTGGATTCGGGAGACAGATGCGCAGAGCCATTGCAAGGGGGTCGGGGTATGAATCAAAACAAAAGAATGCTTGGACACTGGACAGGATAATGGACAGGTTCTTGACGGGTCTCCCACACAAACGCAAAGCAAGAGCTGAAGCATTCCCAAATATGTTTCCAAACAAACTTCCTTCCAAGCCAAATACTAGAAAATATGAAGAAGCATATCTTCCCTTTGGCTTCACCTGCACAAGTGCCAAGGTAGGTCTCTGCAACAGAATTAGTTTCCCCTGCGTCACGCACAAACAGAATCCCACATTCTTGATTTTTAGTTCACAAACACTTCTTGTAATGACTAACTACTCCTGACATTTTGGAGATGTTAGCTGTTTATACAGTAAAGTTATAGTGGGATACAAATAATATCAGGCTGATCCTGCCATAATTTGTTCCCCCTGTACAAATCACGGACAAACTGTTGTTAGGTGGTGGGGAGTTGCGAAGATTTTTCTTGTAAAACAAAGGGGGACCTAGCAAAAAAAGTTTGGGAACCACTGCATTAGAAGATGCCAGGCCCTCAAGCTACCCTAGTGAAGTCTGTTTCTGATTGTTTAGTCAGACACAGAGTCTGAATGCATGTGAATGGGTAAATGTGAGAATGAGGTAAAGTGCCTTTACATGATCCATTCAATAATCTACTTTTTTACTATGTATAGCACTTTGGCCAACCTGTGTTGTTTTTAAATGTGCTTTTATGAAGAGGAAGGGAGAGAGGACGGTCCCTTCTGGTGCCGTCCTCTCTCCCTTCCTCTTCACCCTCTACACGACAGATTTCAGCCACTGCACAGAGACCTGCCATCTTCAGAAGTTTTCTCTGCAGCGGTTGGACGTATCAGCAGAGATGATGAGACAGAGTACCGGGCTGTGGTCGACTCCTTTGTCACGTGGTGGGAGCAGAATTGTCTTCAGCTCAACGTGGCAAAGACCAAGGAACTGATCGTGGACTTCAGGAAGACCGGGAAACACTTGACCCCTGTTTCAATCCAGAGGGTCAATGTTGACATTGTGGAGGACTACAAATACCTTGGAGTATACATTGACAATAAACTGGACTGGG